CTGCAAGTCGGCAATCCACCGCATGGCGAAGATCCGCACGCGATCGTCTTCATCTTGCAGGGCATCGCTGAGTAGCTTGGAACGCTTCTCGGGGCCGTCGTTGCCGCTGACCCAACGCAATGCTTCCAGCACACCGAGCCGCTGCGAACCACTTTTCAGCTGTGTCCAAGTGTCGATCGGCAACGCGTCGAGGTGCTGAGAAAAACCATACACGGCGGCCTGGCGTAGGTAGGAATCTTCCGCATCCAGCGCGGTCAGGCTCGGTACTTTTCGGAGGGCAGTGGCATCGACTTCCGCTTGGGAAAGTTCCAACGGTTCGCTCGCCGGCGGCGTTTCTTTCCAGGAAAGTCGCCAGATGCGCCCATGGCCATGGACCGGGTAACTGCGGTCGACCCAGTCGGTGAAGTAAAGCGAGCCGTCCGGAGCGATTGCGAAATCGACCGGGCGAAAGTTGTGATCTCCCTGGACAATCGTTTGCGGCGTCGCTTGAATGCCGGCTCCATCGTGGCCAAGGCGGAACGTTTCGATGCGATGATCGCCCCAACTCGTTCCCCACAGATGACCGTGGTACCACGTCACGCCGCTGGGGGCTTCGCCGGTGGCGGCTACCATGGGCAGCGTGCCAGGCAGTTCGCCATTCCAGGCCTGCAGTGGATGGACTCCGGTACGGCCGTAACGAAATTGATAGCCATAGTCACCGCCAGGAACGATATGCAATAAGCGACATGGCGGGCGGCTATCGGGGTCGTTGTCGACCATGTAAAGTCGCCCCATCGGATCGAAAATCATGCCGAACGGATTCCACACCCCAGTCGCCATTCGCTGAAGATCGGAGCCATCGGGCCGGCAGTGATAAATCGTTCCCCCTTCGCCGCCGCCGGAAAGCTGGGTACCGTCGCTGCCGACCAGTGCGTAGGGCTCGCCCAGGTTTTCACCGAGTCCGAAATAAAGCCGCCCATCGGGACCCATCGCCAAGCCGGCGAGACCATTGTGTGGGTAACGCCCGGCCGTTTCCAAGTGGGCGATCTCTTCCCGCTTGTCAGCAACTTTATCTCCGTTGGTATCGCGAAGGCGAAAGACCTCCATCCGCGTGGCGACCAAAATGGAACCATCGAGCGCCGCGAGCAGGCTCATCGTTGCTTCGGTGCCTTCATAAAACGTGCTCCATGTGTCGAACTTGCCATTACCGTCGGTATCGGCGAAGCGGCGAATTCGATCCTTGGGCGGGCCTTGATAGTCAGGCTTGCGATGGTGCGTATGCGATTCGATCACCAACAAGTCGCCATGCTTGTCGAAGGTAATGCCAATCGGCGTGACGATTTCGGGCTGCTCGGCAATCATTTCCAGCTGCAGACGGGGATCGAGCACCTTAGGCGTCTCGGCGTAGGAAATTCGACTGAGCACAAGGAAGCCAAGAATGGCGACGGCAAGCGACAACGATCGAGGCATGGCGTGACCTCTGTTTGAAGGACTTGAGGGAAGGGGAGGGAGGAGGATGTCAATTTCGTGCGAATGGCGACCCGCAAAGGTGTAATGCGGCGCGGTTTCGATTATAAACGAAGGTTGCCGGAACATCCCACCTCCCGATTCACCTCTCAGGAATAACTCATGAAATCGAAATTTATTTTGTCTTGGGCGTGTGCTTTGTTGATGATGCCTTGTTCGCTGGCGTTTGCCGCGGAAACCATGCTGTCGCTCAAGGGTGGCAATGGACCAGGCAAAGGAAAGNNTCGGAAGAAGCATTGCCGATGCTCGCGAAGATTTTGTCGCAGCATCATGGTTTCGATTGCACGGTGTTGTTTTCGATCAATCCGGAAGATGGCACGATCGATCCCAACAACCAAAAGAACATTCCTGGTATCGAAAAGCTAAACGATGCCGACTTGTGCATCATCATGACTCGCTTCCGCAATCTGCCGGATGCCGACATGAAGGTGCTGGACGACTACTTGAAAGCAGGCAAGCCGATCATTGGTATTCGTACGGCGACGCACGCGTTCAACATTCCGAAGGACGCGAAGTACCACAGTTACAGCTTCAACAGCCAAGGGGGTTTCGGTAAGCAGGTGCTCGGCGAAACTTGGGTGAATCACCATGGCAAGCATAAGGGAGAAAGCACCCGCGGCGTGAATAATGAAGAAGCGAAGGATAACCCGATTCTTCGTGGCGTGGACGACGTGTGGGGGCCGACCGATGTGTACGGCGTTCGCAACTTGCCGGAAGACGCGACCGTGCTGCTGTATGGTTCGGTCCTGGAAGGGATGAAGCCGGAAGACAAGCCGGTCGCCGGCAAGAAGAACGATCCGATGATGCCAATCGTCTGGACGATGCCGTACCAGTTGGAAGGTGGCAAGCAAGGGACGTCGGTCTGCAGCACGTTTGGTAGCGCGATCGACTACGTGAACGAAGATGGTCGCCGCATCGTGGTCAATTCA